AGTGAAAATTATAGGTAGTCCAACAGCACCTAGAGGGCTACAGGTTCTCTGCTCCTGCTTTGACATCAGTTCTGAACATATTCAGGACCTTGACTTGGGACAGGAGGAAAGGTGCACTTTCCGCTCCGTCTCAAGCAGCAAAATACATTGACTCTGGCCTGTTCCTGCGAGCAAGAGCCACTGCCTTCCTCTCATTGTATGGAGCAATCATTCCTTTCCAGTGCCGCATTCCCACTCTGACGGCCTCTCTAGCCTTCCTTCCCATGTCCCTCGTGGAAATGACCATAGCTCAGTGATAGATGATCTGCTTCCCACACAGAAGGTCCTAGGTCCAATCCCCAACATCTCCATGGAGGGCTGGGAATGTCCCCTGTCTGAGTGCAGCAGCCGGTCACTGTGAACATTACTGAGCTGGAGAAGCTGAAGCTCTGACTCGGAACAAGGCAGATTCTTACATTCCTATTTTAAAGAAGCCTGTATTCAAAACAATGAGGACTAGAATCTTATTTGACTTTTTAGGGAAGGGCCATGGCTCACTGGGAAAGGAACTGCTTTGTATGGAAAATGCCCCAGGTTCAATCCCTGAATTTTGCAGGTAGGGCTGGGAATGCCCCCTGCCTGAAACCCTGGAGAACAGCTGCCTGTCATAGAAGACAATTCTGAGTTAGACAGACCAGTGCTGTGACTCAGGATATAAAGGTGGCTTTCCTCTGTTCTAATCACTCTTCATTCTCTTTCATGCTTTGCATGAACCACTGTTCTTTGGCCTCCTCTCCCCAGGCTTCCCATTTCTCGAATGACCCGTTTTTCCAGTTTTCTGCTACACTTTCACCACCCGTCCTCTGCACCACTACCCTGCTCTCTTTTTTTCTTTTTTTCTTTTTTTTCTTTGAATATAAATACCAGCTATATAATTATTGGAGTGTTCTCTCTAAACACACAGATTAGGGAGAGACACAGCAGCAATTTTGCATGTGTGTGGAGGGTGTATGTGAAGCTGGATTTAAATGTTGCTCATCTTGTAAGAGACTTCTCTCTTTCTTGGTGGAAGGGAAAGGTATTACCTGAGATGAAGTACAGGCAATGTTTTAAAAAGCAAAGTCAGCCATTGTTGGTCTTCAACGGGAGAAATGAAATATTCCAAGGTCCACAGCTGGAGAATATACCTTCAGGATGGCCGAGGAAAAAGGTTGCAAAATGGCGGCAAGGTTTGGAGTTCTGCAGAAGGCTTTGCCAGGCAACGTATTACACCAGATAATCGCGCAGGGCGATCTTAGGCCAGTTGCCATCTCTCAGGCTAACCAACCTCACAGGGTTGTTGTGAGGATGAAAGCGGGAGGGGGCGATCCATGTGTACCACCTTGAGCTCCTTGGAGGAAAAGAAGGGTGGGGGTGGATCAAAATGTGATAAAAGAAAATGAAAGCTGGTTAGAGTGTGGTGCTGATAACGCCAAGGTTGCAGGTTCGATCCTTGTAGGGTGTAGCTGCATGTTCCTGAATTGCAGGGGGTTGGACTAGATGAACCACTGGGTCCCTTCCAACTATATGATGCAATAATAATAATAATAATAATAATAATAATAATAATTTATTATTTATACCCCACCCATCTGGCTGGGCTTTCCCAGCCACTCTGAGTGGCTTCCAACAAAATATTAAAATACAGTAATGCATCAAACATTAAAAGCTTCCTAAACAGGGCTGCCTTCAGATGTCTTCTAAAAGTCTGGTAGTTGTTGTTCTCTGACATCTGGTGGGAGGGCGTTCCACAGGGCAGGTGCCACTACCGAGAAGGCCCTCTGCCTGGTTCCCTGTAGCTTGGCTTCTCGCAGTGAGGGAACCACCAGAAGGCCCTCGGCACTGGACCTCAGTGTCTGGGTAGAACGATGGGGGTGGAAGCACTCCTTCAGATATACTGGACCAAGGCCATTTAGAGCTTTAACCCTATGATGGGGAACCCAATGCTCCCCAGAGGTTGTTGGACTCCAACTCCCAGTGAACCTAATGGTTAGGGGGTGACCTTGGGCCAGTCACACTTCTTGGAAGTCTCTCAGCCTCACTCACCTCACAGAGTGTTTGTTGTGGGGGAGGAAGGGAAAGGAGAATGTTAGCCGCTTTGAGACTCCTTAAAGGGAGTGAAGGGCGGGATATCAAATCCAAACTCTTCTTCTTCTTCTTCTTCATGGGGGTTGTAGTCCAGCAACATTGAAGGACCACAAGTTCTACACCTCTGTGTGGTGCAAGGAAGGGGCTATTGGTGGCTGCTAGCCATGATGGTCCGACTCTGCCTTCATGGTCGGAGGCAGCAGGGCTTCTGAATGCCAGTTGCTGGAAAGCACAGGAGGGTAAAGGGCTCTTGTGCTCAAATCCTGCACATGGGCTTCCCACAGGCACTTGGTTCACAGCTGTGAGAAAAGGAGGCTGGACTAGATGTCTCGTTGGCCTGATCCAGCAGCCTCTTCTGAACATAACATAGGTAAAGGTAAAGGGACCCCGACCATTAGGTCCAGTCATGGCCGACTCTGGGGTTGCGGCGCTCATCTCGCTTTATTGGCCGAGGGAGCCAGCGTATAGCTTCTGGGTCATGTGGGCAGCATGACGAAGCCGCTTCTGGCAAACCAGAGCAGCGCACGGAAACGCCGTTTACCTTCCCGCCAGAGCGGTACCTACCAAAAGTGAGTGTTATGGTGCAAAAAATACGGTATTTATCTACTTGCACTTTGACGTGCTTTCGAACTGCTAGGTGGGCAGGAGCAGGGACCGAGCAACGGGAGCTCACCCCGTCGCGGGGATTCGAACCACCGACCTTCTGATTGGCAAGTCCTAGGCTCTGTGGTTTAATCCACAGCGCCACCCATGGCCAACCTAAATGAAAAAAAGTGCAAGGCAGCTCTTGTAGCTATGAGGCCAGCTTGTTGACTTGCTGCTCTCCAAGTTGGAGAGCAAATCTCTGCTATGGGGCTGCCAGTCATCTTGCTTGCACCCCAAGGATTACGAAGTCACAGCCGCTCCCCATTTTTGAAAGCATGAAGCCCAGCTGCTAGCCAGATCTGTCTTCATGCCTTAAGCAAAGCACGCAGGCAGAGAGAAGAAACGAGAAACACAGCAGTCTTTATTTTTATTCCCAAAGACAGAGGTTAAATTTGGATTCGGGGAAAGGGTTTAATCATGTTGTATCACTAGTGGCTGGAGAGAATGTAACTCTCAAAAATGCAAACCTGATGCTCCCCTTTCAGTCCATGAATAAGGAACGCACCCCCCCTTCCAAAATGCTATGTGCATGTGTAATTAATTGGTTAATTGACTATAAATCATGCAGTTAGTCAAAGTTCGGTTGCAATCATCAACACTAGAAAGCAAGGCCTGTCAAACACAGTGAGACTTTGGATAGCATGATACCCCCCCCCCTCCACCAGTGGGTGACAACCTCCCTATATATCTACATCTCTGTCTGCGGAGACCTAGATAGATATTCTATATGCTGTATAAATTATGCAAATCAAACGCATTTGCATGATTTCCCCCACAAACACACACACACATTTTGCATGATTCACTCTGCAATATTTGCTACCTTGCGTCATTCATTCTGCCGTCCTGCTAGTCGCAGGGAGGGGCACAGAGCTGCATAGGGCACTGAATCTCTAACCCCCTGAACCCTGGGAATCTTCCAAGATTTGTCAGGCATTGCAGATGTACACACACACATGCACTTATACTTGCAGCCTTAAGGGCCAGGAAAAGGTAGGAACACAGCCATCAGAATTAGCAGCCGTTGATAGCCTTTTCCTCCATTAATTTGTCTCATCCTCTTTTAAAGCCAGTCTGTTGTAAAGATGGCATTCCATGTGTGCTTATTCCTCAGGATCTCTTGCCACTTCATTACTCAATGCGGGGGGGGGGATTCACATCTGCATACACCCTCGCTTCCTTTCTCATCACCATTTTTCAACTCTCACAGCCCAACACCTGAAGCTGTGCAGTGATGTGGCTGAAAGGTGAAGAGACACTGGAGTCGTGGCAGCAGTATCAGAGCTGGGCTGGCTCAGTCACACATGCCAGGTGCCACTTAACGCTGCAGTCAATACACTCTAAACATACATGTGTGGACCAGCTTATATAGATATGTTTATGCCAAGCTGGTAGAGTCACCCATCTGGTCTAGAAAGGGTGGGAAACCTCAACCCTCAAAGCCAATTGCCATCCTCCAAGCCTCTTCTCTGGGAATTTTGGGAACTTTCCTTGCCAACACAAACCCAAGGCCACACCACCTCACACAACACACCCTGCGCTTTGCACCCCCCCTGTGGTCTTAGCTGGAGAGGATGTGGCATTCAACATCTTGGCAATGCCATTTACATGTCTGGATGGAGGATTATGGCAGAGTGTGTGTCGTACTACTGTATAAAGATGAAAATTGCATTTGTGGCACTGCCCACCTTTTCCTCTGCCCCCACCCACCAGTGGCATGTGGCCCTCTGAAGGTTGCCTAGAACGGAACGTGGCCCTTCAGTCAAAAGCAGTTTCCCGTCCCCTTGAAGTATGGCCACTCGGTGCCCTTAGCCATCTCTTCCAGGACAAGCAAGCAGGGCAATTTGACAGACGTTTCCTGTCTCCCATTATTAGGTGCAAGTGAGCAGCACAGTTTTATGTACCACCGGGCAGGCAAATCTGAAGGCGGAACATATTGGGACTATTTGTGTGGCTTTCCTCTCCTCCAGCCAGCTCCGTCGCAGGCTCAGGAAACTCAAATGCACTTGTTTAACTGTTGGGAAGGGGAAATTATGTCCCGTAGTCAATTTCTCTCTCTCTCTCTCCAATTTATCTGCGGAGCTGTGAGCCATATTTAGCTGGGCTTGCGCGAACCTGCTGCTTCCAAGCTACAAGCAGAGAGAATTAATTGGGACAAACGGTGCGCTGGAATCCCAGCAACAAGGACCATTTCTTATCACTCTGCAACTGACTCCTCTTCCCCCGCCTCCCTTCTGCTCTCATTGCAGGCCTCTGGGCTCAGATGGTGCTTGTCAACGACACGGTCTCCGGGTACATTGGGACTGACGTGAACCTGCACTGCACCTTGACCAACCCCAGCCTCGGCATGAAGATCACCCAGGTCACCTGGCAGAAGGCCACCAATGGCTCCAAGCAGAACGTGGCCATCTCCAACCCCGTCATGGGCATTTCCATCCTGCCCCCGTACAAGGACCGGATGGTCTTTCGAAACTCCTCCACCAGGGATGGGACCATCCAGCTGTCACGCCTCAAGCTGGAGGATGAAGGCGTTTACATCTGCGAGTTTGCAACATTTCCCGATGGCAATCGGGAGAATCAGCTCAACCTCACTGTGTTGGGTAAGTCGGCTTCTCTGCCTTCCAAACAACTAGTGGTCCTTCTGCCCTGCTGTCTGAGCAAACAGCATCTCAGGTTTTACATACTGGTCCCGTAACACTAATGACTTGAGTAGGAGCAGAGGTTTGGGAGCCAGGCTCCCTAGTGAGCTTGAGAGGGAAAGCCTAGTCTATTTCTCCCACCTCTCCTCTCCTTCCCTTCAGGGGGTGGTGGGGTTACGGTCATCATCCGGCCGCCATTGCTGAGGGACAGCAGAAGAAGCAGAGGCAAGGATTACCTTTTGATAACCTGGGTGCAGAACTTCCATACCCCACTCTCTGCAGAATCCCAGCCCAAGTTCTTAGGAAATGCTTGTTCTCTTCCCTAGTCTGCTGAGGTAAAACGAGAAGGCAAATTTTACGACATTTGCCATCAATGATGCTCACCCCTCACCTTATTTTTGGAGAGAACTTGGAGGTCCTGCAAAATGGAGCAGAACCATTCTCCAATTCGGAGTGAGGGCAAGAGGTATTTATCTCTCCCTCTGATGTGGCTTCATATTGTCATCCCATAGCCACATCTGATTGGTTAGGTAGTGCCGTGATTTCACCGCACTGCCTATATCATCCCTTATTGGTTGAATTGTGTATTTAGCAAGAAGAAAACTCCTTTTGGATAGAGATAGATAGATAGATAGATAGATAGATAGATAGATAGATAGATAGATAGATAGATGATATATAGATAGATAGATGATAGATATATAGATGATAGATAGATAGATAGATAGATAGATAGATAGATAGATAGATAGATAGACAGACAGATGATAGACAAAAAGTTCTACTGAAACAGCACCTGTAGAATATAGGGAATAAATTGAGAACTTATATGAAAAAGGCTAGTTTTGCAGGACCTAGTTTGGGGACCTTTGAAAATGTTGCTTTTTTGCATGAAAACTGTTGATCTTCAAAACTTTGGCTCAGCCTTTATCATAGAAGATTCTGAGTATCATATTCTGCATTTACCCAGAGTCCTGCTTTGTTCTCAGTTTAAAGCAAAGGTGAAAACCCTTTGGCCCTCCAGTTAGACTACACCTCCCATCATCCCTGACCATTGCTATGTGAGCTTGGTGCTGATGGGAGCTGGAGTACACAATCACCTGGGGGGGCACAGGTTGCTCATTCCTGTGCTGATGAGTTAATTTTTCCCTCATCACCACCAGCAAGCCTATGCTCAGAAGCTAAGGCATGCTCTCCCTCTTGCATTTCCCCTAGGACCCATTCCACTGGACAGCCCCATGCATCAGGTCAGCTTGAAAGGAAATCTCCTAACCTTGTACCCACAGCAACGAGAGAAACATGGCAAGCCCCCCTGCAGCTTCCTTGAATGTTTCTCTCTCCCTCTGTTGCAAACTGCCTTCAGTCCCCTTCCACTGGAACAGCATCCTTGAACCAGCAGGAACAAACTATTAAATTCTGGACTGATGCAGGGCATGGGGGGGGTTGGGAGTGGTTCTGTACCCAGAGACCAAAGGTCTTGTGGGATTCCGTTCTGTGTTCTCCTTCCTGGTGATGATTGCCTTTGTGATGATAATGACGATGCCATCAGTGTGCAAAGGATGCATTTTAGAGTTGCATCCTTGGCGTAGACAGGTTGCTGTCTCGCTTATTCCACTGTATTATCTTGGATAAGGATTGGTCGTAGTGACCTGTTTCTCAAGGGTGTGGCAAAGCTTTGAAAACGATGCTCCTTTGGGAGCCTTTCCCTTTGATGTCCCAAAATGGATTTCAGAAGGAAGTTGGGAAGCATCGTCTTTGGCTTCCTTTGGGTCTGAGGTTTTTTTTGGAGAGGATGTGGCTCTGGATTCAAGCCCTGTGACCGAGTCTTTCTCTCTCCCCTCCTGCTTCAGTGCATTTCCATTATCAAAGCTCCAAAGATTCCAGAAGATTCCATTATCAAAGCTCCAAAAGTCTTATGCAGGCATAGGCAAACTCCAGCCCTTCAGATGTTTGGGACTACAATTCCCATCATCCCTGACCACTAGTCTTGTTAGCTAGGGATGATGGGAATTGTAGTCCCAACAGTTTGACTATGCCTGGTCTTATGTATGGCTGAAGGTGCAATGGGTAGTTGTCATATTACCAATTTATTGATTAAAGGAGATAAGATATCTTTATTCTTCCCATTCATCTGTATCAGTCTCTTGGCCACCATTAGAATCCATTTTTGTTGTTAACTTCCATACAATAGGCATATAGTTCAGAAGAATATTCTCCGCTGAAAGTTTTAGCATTTTCGGTACAGCCATACTTATACAGTCCAGCACAAAGCTTAGGATGGCATAGACTTTGTTTGGCTAAATATGATAACATTTAGTATGAGTTTCTACATAATGAAGTAGGCTATTAATATCTACATATGCATTAGGATAATAACATCAAAAATATTCATGTAATAGTGTATGGGAGTATACAGCCAAACATCAGCTCCTGAACGCCTCCGTTTTGGAATGTTTCCAGCACACTGGAGATCTTTCGTCACAATATTTTCACATTGCTGCATTTGTGTCCAAATCTATAAAGGGCTAGAAACTTGCTTTTTTTTTTTCTTCTTAAGTGGAGCAACAGGTGAAACGATAGAAGTTGGCAAAATTATGCACGGCATGGGGAAAGTGGACAAAGAAAGATTTTTCTCCCTGTCTCTTAACGCTAGAACTCGTGGGACATCCCACGAAACTGAGCATTGGAAGTTTCAGGGCAGATAAAAGAAAAGACGTTTTTGTGCAGGACATGGTTAAACTATGGTATTCGAGTGAGGAGGAGGAAGGGACGGCCATCAGCTGGCTACAAGCCACGATGGTTATACTCTGCCTCCATGGTCCAAGGCAGTTACACGTCTGAATAGCAGTTGGCGGAAACTGCAGGAGGTCAGAGGGCTCTTATGTTTGGGTTCTGCATGAGAGTTTCCTGCAGGCCACTGTGAAAGCAGGATGCCAAACTAGACGGCCCATTGGCCTGATCCAGCAGTCTCTTCTTACATTCTTACGAAAGGTGGAATTCTGATAAATATTGACACTGCAATAGAGCACAAGGCTTGTGTTCAGTGTCCACAGAATGGTGTTTGGCGTTTTTCTGCAGAAGGCCAGGGAAGCTAGTGTATTCTGATGAATCAGCGAAGCCACTTTGATTTCGAACCCCTTGTATGTCTCAGCAGGAGATGAACCCCAAGGGCTGACCAAACAGCTCACAGCACGCGCTAGTAACCTCAAAGACCCTCCCCTCTCCTCTAACCTTCTCGCCTCCTGCCTTCTCCTCAGCCAAACCGACAAACCGGATGCAGGCCACCACGAGCCTGCTCATTGCCAAGGCCGGCATGACGGAGAAGATTGTGGTCGCCACCTGCACCTCCTCCAACGGGAAGCCCCCCAGCACCGTGTCCTGGGAAACCAAGCTGAAAGGGGTGGCGGAATACCAAGAGATCCGCAACCCCAATGGCACCTTCACCGTGGTCAGCCAGTACCGCCTCTTGCCCAGCCGGGAGGCCCATCGGCAGCAACTGACATGCGTGGTCAACTACCAGCTGGACCGCTTCACTGACAGCATGACCCTCAACGTGCTGTGTAAGTGAGAGAGGCAGGGAGGCCTGGATGAGAGGGTTGGACTAGATGACTCTTGCGGTCCCTTCCAGCTCTATAAATTTGTGGTGCTGTTGTTCGTTCTCCAGCAGCAGAGCTGGTATCTTGAAGAGGCTTGTGGTCCCTGAGACTTTTGACTTTCCCTGGGCAGGAACAGGGGTGGACATTTTCCTTTTAAAAGTCAGGGTTCCTCTGTGAGAATGAATGAGTGAAGGTGTAATAGCACCCCTGAACTTGTGAAGAGGGCTTTTCTCCCACCCCGGGTTACCATCTATAATGCAAAGAAAAGTCCAAATCTTATTTGTTGTATTCATGGCCAACCATTTCTCCCAAGGAGTTCAAGGTGGAGTTCATGGTTCTCCCCCTCTTTCATTTAATCCCTACAACAACCCTGTGGGGTAGGCTAGGCTGAGAGGCAGTGACCGGCCCTAGGTCAGGGCCAAGGGGGGATTTGAACCCTGGTCTCCCAAATCCTAGCCCAACGCCTTAACCACTGCACCACACTAGATCTGCAGCATGCCCCAGAGCTGAGCTATGAGACAAAGGTGAGCCAGAGTGAATATTAATGGCCTTTTGTTCCCCTCCCTCGTCCACATCTTTGTACCTCTCTTTTCATCCCTCTCTCCTTTCTTCTCTTCTCCTCTCCCTTCCTCTCCTCTCCTCTCCTCTCCTCTCCTCTCCTCTCTCACCGGCCTGGCCTTCACAACTCCCTCCCGTTCTGCTGTCATTCCTGTTCCTCTCCTCGCAGACGAGCCCGAAGTGAGGATCGATGGCTTTGATGGCAACTGGTACCTCAACCGGAAAGATGTGAAGCTGACATGTATCTCTGATGCCAACCCTCCTGCCACCTCATACCAGTGGAAGCTGTAAGTAGCCGCCTACAGGGTTCCTTTTGACTTGACTTCCCTCTAACTCCGAATGCAGAGTGATCCTCGATTGGGCAGGAGGGAGACTTCTTTCTGCTGAGAGCGTCGCACCTTTGCTCCCAAATCTTACGGAACTGGTGGGATGGTCAATGTGGAACTAGGCAGTACCACTCCAGGTTTTTCGGATTACAAGAATGTGTTTTGTGTGTGACCTAACTGAGTTATCTCCTATACTGGCCAAATGCCTGACATGTAGAAAGCTGTCATATCAAGAAAGAGGCAAATTAGCATAACCTTCTCCCTGAAGTGCTGCTTTACTTTGTGTAAGCATTTTTTATTTATTTATTCCTTCATTTATATTCCTTCATGTGAGTCCCCATGCCAACAATGCCCCCATGAGTGCCTTGCCCATAGAAACTAGCATATCAAGGAAGTGGCAGTCTAGCTTAGCCTTCTCCCTGATGTGCTGCTTCATTCATTCATTCATTCATTCATTCATTCATACATATCCCATCATGTCAGTCCCCATGTCCAGTCTGAATTAAAGCAGCCCAAATGCCTCAGAGAAATCCAGGCCTGGCTGTAACAGGCCGTGATGATTTGACCTGTGCTAAGTCACCCCTTCCAAAATAACAACAAAAATGACATTAAATCCTTGCGCCCACAGGAAAACCCACCTGAACACACCAGATTTCAAAGCAGCAAGTGCATATATGCCATATGAGTGGACAGAAAATAGATCAGGACCTACCTTTCAACCACTGGATTATTTGTTGCAGATTGACACACATTTCTGACTCAAAATCACTTAACAATAGCAATGAGAGACAACAGCACGCACCCCAAGACTGTGAGAATCTCTGAGTTTCAGTAGCTCTGATGCAGATGCGTGCTTGCAGAAGCAAGTCACCCCAGCTCATAGGATGCAGTCAGTCACTGCGTCTGCTCTCAGACGCTGTTATGCAGCTGGGTTTGGTTGGTGTCCCCCAAAGTTCTAGTAATATGGTACATCCCACAAGCCTGTCCATGTGACATCCTCAGGTGCCCCTTGTCCCCCCCCCCCCCGGCACTCTCCTCTTTATATAATGCTCCTTCATCTTTGTTCTGTAACGAAGGCTCTGCTGAGGAGGTCAGTTTCCACCTAGATGAGCATCCCTGACTGGGCATATGTGAAGAGGAAAAGGCTGGTGTGTGTGTGTGTGTGTGTGTGTGTGTGTGTGTGTGTGTGTGTTACAGGCAAGGCAGATTTGATCAGCAGCCGGGTGACTCACAAGCCTGATCACCTGGGATGACCCGGATGGAGCCAGGCAGGCGAGTAGATGGCCTAGTTCTCACAAACAGCAGAGGAGGAGGTAATCCTGTGTCTGGACTGTACAGATTCTAGCTGCAGTTTGCAGCTTGCAGGACTCCTCTGGCTCCTCCATTAAAAAAAGGGAAAATCCACCATATATAAAAAGCTAGCATGCCGGAGGAGAAGGGCTACAGCCTAGCCTTCTCCCTGACATACCAAATTTCCATGTGCAGGGGTTGTTTTTTTGCTTGTTTGCTTCTTGTTTAAATGCAGTCATATGACCTCCCACGTGCAGTCGGAAGTGGGTAGAGTCTAGGGCTGGGTCAGGAGGCAGATCGAGATCAACTGGTAGTAGAGATCTACTGACTTGCAGTAGATTAGCAAGGATTTCCTGACCCACTGTTTTCCAGTTGGCTGAAAAACATTTCCACCACCCTCAGTGAAGCAGCTGAAAACAACAGTCAGAGGAAAACCAGGAGTGGATTTTTTGGTCTGGAAGGACTGGTACTGATCATGCATTTCTGGATTGTGCATCTGCACCAGAGACAACTCACAGCTTGTGTCCACCTGCTTGAGCCATTGTTTTACACCTAACTCCAATTGGTGGACCTTGGGGGTTCTAATAAAAAAAAAAAAGCCTGCTTACCCCTACTAGCATAGGCATAGGTTGGCCATCTTCTGTTGCATAGAAACTCTCTTACAGCTCAGGTTGACATTCAGCTGCCGTTTCCCTCTTGGCCCCTACCACAAATTTATTTCATAAGATTTATATACCACTTGATTGTAGGGGGAAAACTCAAAGTGGTTTACAAAGAAGATGAAAGAGTAAAATCATCGCTAAAAAATTTTGCAACCATAATTTAAAACATACAAAAAGTTAAAACCATAATAGAATAGACTCAATACCCAAGGGGTATTTGAAGGGACGCGGGTGGCGCTGTGGGTTAAAGCCTCAGCACCTAGGACTTGCTGATCGAAAGGTCGGCGGTTCGAATCCCCGCGGCGGGGTGCGCTCCCGTTGCTCGGTCCCAGCGCCTGCCAACCTAGCAGTTCGAAAGCACCCCCGGGTGCAAGTAGATAAATAGGGACCGCTTACTGGCGGGAAGGTAAACGGCGTTCCGTGTGCTGCGCTGGCTCGCCAGATGCAGCTTGTCACGCTGGCCACGTGACCCGGAAGTGTCTCCGGACAGCGCTGGCCCCCGGCCTCTTGAGTGAGATGGGCGCACAACCCTAGAGTCTGTCAAGACTGGCCCGTACGGGCAGGGGTACCTTTACCTTTTTATTTGAAGGGGAAAAGACAGTGACCACCAACCAATGGGGTTCTCCTCCCCAAAGGAGAACTCCTCCACTCCCCAAAAAAGCTAGACTGCCCTCTGCAGCCTGTGTTATTGTTGTCATTTTGAGGGGGTGAGTTTTGGCCCAGACTTGCAAATACTTTCCACCTGTGTGTTAAGTACAGCTGTGCTGGAGTGCAGAAGAAGCTGCTTTCCACTCACCCACCCAATTGGCATGTGCTTCTCTTTGCTCAGGAAAGGGTTCATCATTTATCCCTGTGTTCATCCTGGTCTTATGGACTCCCTCAAAAAGCATTTTTGATCGACAGAGCCTATAGGAACCACTGCTCTGACTTAATAAGCAATGCTTCTAGCTCTTCCCCTTCCAGGTTCCATTGTTCAGTGGAATGGATTCAACCTCTTTCTGAGTTCCAGTTTTTTTGCTGAATAAAATAAAAGATCAAGGCATGGACCAAAGCCACTGGGAAGAGAGAAGGATCAATGCAGATAGAATGAGAGAGAGAGAGAGAGAGAGAGAGAGAGAGAGAGAGAGAGAGAAATTGCTAAAATGAGACAAAGAAAATTATTCACTCAAGCTTTGCCAGTGGGGATATAGGCCTAACAATGGTGATTCTGGAATAAAAAACCTGACTATCTAGTGTTCATCTCCCTGATCAAATCTCTCTGGCAGGGATGGGGGTACCTTACTCATCCTGAGGGCCACAGTCCTTTCTGGGAAACCTTCCAAGGGCCATATGCCAGTGATGGGTAAAGCCAGAGGTAAAAGTGGGTGGGCAAAGAATGTAAATTTTACCTTTGTACGCCCTACTGGTTTCTACACACATTCCCACTCCCCTCTCACTCTTGCAGCCAGACAAAGCAAGAGGCATTCTCAGATGCCCCAAGGACATATTCCAGCCAGGCAGAAACTCTTAAAAGAGGCTGCAGAGCCGAACCAGTGTTTTCTGTCACTGACAGGTCCACTCCCCAGCTCAAAATGCTTCATTTCTTTTTTGAAATAATTTTTATTTGATTTATACAAATTCATTCACACAAATAGTATTATCACAAATATTAAACTTTACCCAAGATTCTTCTGTATCTCTTCCCTACTTCCCTCCATGGGTTCTTTAACTAACGTTTTAAACTGGATATTGTCAGTCTATCTAGTTTGTCATCCTCCATAGCAGGCTTCCTCAAACCTGGCCCTCCTGATGTTTCTCGCCTACAACTCCCATGATCCCTAGCTAGCAGGACCAGTGGTCAGGGATGATGGGAATTGTAGTCTCAAAACATCTGGAGGGCCAAGTTTGAGGAAGCCTGCTCCATAGTATCCAAAATCTATGCATCATAGCCTGCCAAAGCCTGCCAAAGAGTTCAAGTGTTTAGAGTGGTCTTTCAAGTACATTATCCCATTCTTTGTTGAAGTTTTGATCCTCCTGATTTCTGATTTTCCCGGTTAATCTTGCCATCTCTGCATAGTCCAATAATTTTATCTGCCAGTCCACCCTAGTAGGTATATTGTTGTCTTTCCATCTCTGGGCAAGAAGCATCCTTGCAAAATGCTTCATTTCTACCTTAGCTGAAAGAGAAGAAAGTGGAAGAAGGTATTTGAGATGTGCATTTTACGGAGCCGGCAGAATCTGTTCCCATTTAGGCTCCAGGCTAAATTGCACCATGATGCCAACTGAGCTACAGAGTCATGCCACACTTAATCATCTAGTTATTTCCCTGTCCTCAGCTCCATTGTTACAAATGTCCCTTTGAGTTAACTGGATGTGATGTTAAATGGGTATCAAACTTCAGCTTTCTGTTCAGTGTGGTAATATTTTGAGTCTCCCAATTTGTGTGTGTGTGGTGGTAAGTTGGGAAATATCAGGAATCTCCACCATTCAGAATTTCCAGTCCTAGTACTCAAGCTGTGTGGACTGAAGTGGAGGCAGACAGCATGTGTGTGCTAAGCATGCAGAAGGGCATTCCTGGGTCCCTTGTTAATTTTGCTTGAAGGATCGAGTTCCCATTCAGCCGGCAAACTTGTTTTCAATGTTGGGTGCTGCCTTGCCAAGAGGCTTATTTATTAGAAGTGTGGAACAAGAGTTATGTGGTACCTTTAACTGTGCCAGCTCTGCAGATCGAAATGGTCACATGGGCCTATATGAGCGTAAGGCGATCTCACAAGCAATCCACCCCCCAAGATGTTAAGGGCTTTATGCACCAAGAGTAACACCTTAAATTTGGCCCAGTAGTAAAATGGCAATCGGTGTAGACCCCTGAGCAAAGCTGTTGTAAATGCAGACAGAGTCTCGCTTTCTGCACTAACTGCAATTCCCCAGTCAAGCACAGGGGAAGTCCCAAACAAAGCGCATAGTCAAAGCTCGAAGTAGCCAGTGCATGAACTACTGTAAGATAGTTTTGAATGATAAGTGATGGAGGAGAGGTGGCTGCAGTGCAGCAAGAGAAGTGAGAGAAAGAGAGATTAAACGTATGAGAGCTGGGGGCAGGGAGGGTGAAGGACTGTGAGACAGGCTTAGAATGCAGGGGAAATATATGTGTGATGGGAAACAGGGAGGGTTGAATGTCCCACAAGTGTGAATAGCTGTGAGGCATCTTCAAGGGGTGAACCTGAGAACATTCTGCTCATGGAAGATGGTGTATTGCTTGGCTACAAATTCATTTATAAGCCTGCATGGGTACTATCCCAATATGGAGATGTTAAAACTGGCAGCCAAATGGTAGAAAGTATAAGTCATGGGGGTAGGGGCAGAGGCCCAGGCAGAGGGCCTTCTTGGTAGTGGCGCCCGCCCTGTAGAACGCCCTCCCACCAGATGTCAAAGAGGAAAATAACTACCAAACTTTTAGAAGACATCTAAAGGCAGCCCTGTTTAGGGAAGCTTTTAATGTTTAATAGGTTATTGTGTTTTGGTGTTTTGTTGGAAGCCGCCCAGAGTGGCTGGGGGGACCCAGCCAGATGGGCAGGGTACAAATAAATTATTATTATTATTATTATTATTATTATTATTATTATTATTATTATTATTATTGGTTTTGTGGCCAAAATAGGGGTGAGGTGGGCTAGCTCCCTCTTTTCTCATTTGTCTGGTGCACAGTATTAATAAGCAAATCTTTACCAAAGTGTTCCTTTTTTCTTTCAGGGTCCCATTGCCTAACGTAGGTAGGAATAGGTGAGCAGGCCATCACATTTCCTATGGACTAGTAACTTGTGGGCTTCTTTGCACGACTGATGCTGGGCATCTTCTGCCCTTTAGCCACTCAGAATTTGACTCTGATCTTCCCTTTCGCTCTGCACAGAAGTGCGCCCTCATCTTTCAAGAGTTGCGCAACACACTTGATGGATACGGCTGTCATGGCTTGGGTTGGGTTATAAACGCTTCTGTCATCTCTGGGTCTTTAACTATATAGAGCTTTGCTTTTATGCATGCTAACGTAGTCATAGACAAAATTCTAACTTTTCCTGTTTATATACTACTTGCGGATTACTGTTAGTGCTTTGGAGGGGAAGGCGAGGATAGAAGAATTTCCTGTATTGTCAAATAGGAATTTGCATTCTACTAAATTGCTCCATTGGTCCAAGGCTGCCTACTCTGACTGGCAGTGGTTCTTGCAGGTCTTGGGCAGAGAGAGGTGTTTGCCACCATCAGCTACCTGGGATTTTTCTGGGGCTGAACCTGGGTCCTTATACACGCAAAACATGCAAAATATGCCGCTGAGCTTTTGGGTGATCCAATTACTTTAGCTAAAGTAATTGCTTCACCTTGTACCGGTAATTAAAAATGAGCAAGCTGCATTATTCTTTCCCTGCATGTGTACATGCAGTTATGGTTATGTTTGTTTGTTCCATGACTTTCCAAAACAGTTTGGGATTAATTCATCAATGAGTTGCTGGCCTTTGATTCCAAGATAACATTGTGGGGAAACCACAACAACAACAACAACAACAACAACAACAACAACAACAACAACAACAACAACATTTCAGTCACCTTCTCTCAAACCATGTGCAATAAAAACAATTAAAAACAACATAGAAAGCAATAGGAGATAAATTTTAAAACAATACAAAATGGACACCCGTGGCAAAGACCCATTCACCCAGCTGAGAAAACCCATCAGAACAAAAATGCCTTCAGTTGTTTCTGGAAAATGCAGAGAGTGGCCGCCTGTCGTATGTCGACAGGGATGCTGTTCCACAGAACAGGGGCAAGGGAACTAAAAGCCTTGCTCTGGGTTGCTATGTTTTATTGCTTGATAGGTTGGGGAAAACCCATCAGGGTAGAGATAAGACTGATTTTGCTAGCATGGAAGTCAGGCACATTGAAAATATTGCTACAGGGTTAAGAAATTGCCACCAGTTGCCAAGTTCAGCATCTCAGTTTTTGTTTTTGTTTTTAAATAAATCCAAGTTTCCAGCCCCTGGAAACTTTGGAGGTAGATCTAAAAGAGTGTGGCCAGCATTTCCAGCTGACGGGACAAGGCATCAGTTTCCAACTGGTGGGGCTTTAGCACCAACTTAGCTCTTTGCCCAGTCTATCAAAAGCAGAATAAATTATGCAATGACCGCAGTTATAATCTGCATAATTTATTGATGTTGCATACTTAAGGCAGCCCTGTTCAGGGAAGTTTTTAATGTATGACATATTAGTGTATTTTTGGTCTTTGCGGAAGCCGCCCAGAGTGGCTGGGGAAACCCAGCCAGATGGGCGGGGTACAAATAATAAATTATTATAATATTATTACAATTTTGCAGAATTCAAGCTATTGCCCTGAGGTCCCCCCCCCCCACACACACACACACCACCCAGCTCTCTTCTGAGATGTCCATGGCTTGGGAAAAGGCGTCAGGTGGAATATTTAGTGACACAGCATCTTTTTTTACCGCAAAGAATGTCCCAGATTTGATCCCCGGCACCTCCAGTTAAACGAATAAACCATCACAATAATTTTCTTAAAACCATTGCAAAAGTACAAAGAAGAAAAAAACAGGCAGATGGTAAATCTGTCCTATAAAATGATCCACGGTGCCTTGACATAAATTGTCTCCTGACATAAATTGTCTCCTGATTATTATTGCATCTAAGTCAGTGTTGTCTCCAGGGTTCCAGGTTCTGCAGCTCTTAACCCATGCCCCTATTGCTCCCAAAATTAAAACCCTGTTTGAAGATGGGGAGGGAGGGGTGCAGGTACAATTGTAAATTCACCTTTCATTTTTATCCCACCCTTCAAGGAACTCATGGTGATGTAGATAGTTCCCTCTCACCAAGTTTATCCTCACAACAACCCTGGTAGGTAGGCTAGGCCAAGAAAGGATGGCTAGGCCAAGGTTTGAGCTGTGTGGCTCAAACCCTACAGCTACTTGGTTGTTGTTCCACTACTCTGACCACAACCTGCTGCTATTACTTTTCAGGTATTATTCCCACACACACACACATGAGGGGCAGTCAGTGAACACTCCATGCAGTGGGCCTTATTGTATAAGGGCAGTTTTACATACCCTAAAGCAGAGAAAATGTTGGATTTGGAAGGTAGTAGGGAATGAAGGTTTTTGCAAGAAAATTGGGTTGTAGAACAGATGGACTTGAACCTGGACTAGGTGGGCTCAGACAGAGGGGCTTGGATAGTCCTATAACAGCTCCAGGGAATTAGCCAGGATTCACTGGCTACAGGAAATAACTTTCTCCCTAACCGTTTGGCCTTCCTTTTGCGACAGACTGAATGGATCGCTTCCCGACAACGTGGAGGTTCAGAACAGCACATTGTTCTTCAAGGGGCCCGTCACCTACAGCCTGGCAGGGACATATGTCTGCGAGGCCACCAACACCATCGGGACGCGGTCTGGCCAGGTGGAAGTTAACGTGACAGGTAGGAACCGCTCACCGGAAAGGCAGCCTCCGTTTGCTCAAAGCGCCCGCGTTGTGGGAGGGAAGTGTAAGCAAGCCACACACTGTTATTTTTCCCCTGCCTCGCTGTCGCTTGACAGATCTCCCACCTCCCACCCTTTCCTCTCAGGGCAGAACCAAGCTGGCGGGGGATCCCCGGTGCTTCTTTCGCCATGCTCAAAGAAGTGCGTCCCAAAGGAAAGCTGTCTTGCTGGAATCACTTGTTTCATCTCCTCTCTTTGCGCTTCCCCTTCCTTTTGTTCGCTGGTACTTTGTTCCCCCTTGTTTTCCTTTCTACTTCTGGTTCAAACAAAGCACGAGAGCATCAGAGCTGTGCTCTAAAGTGAAAGAGGCACAAAAGGAGATGTGACAAAGGGGTGGCAAAAAAAGAAAAGTGTCCCACTGAGGTTGCACTTATTTGCAAAGGACTAAGGAACAGAGGGCATCCGCTATAGAAATTCTCTTGTTTGGTCTCGGTAGGTTTGTTTTGGGGTTATTGGCGTGTGTGTGGATTTTTTCATTTTATTTTAAAGTTCTGAGCAAATTGTCTGTCCATGTTCCCTACCCAGCCCATTTTCTACTTTGCGACTTGTCTGCACTGTTTTTAAATAGTATTGCTCAAACAAGGTCCATGATGAGAAATCATAGAGATGAACAACTCCTCTGAGCTTCAGAAGGAAGTGGTGAGACTGGCAGGCGAGGCATTGAGAAAGTGATGTCATATGACAATGTGAGAAGTTATGAGGGGAGGGGGGGAATGCTGCAGAATAAGGGAAGATGTTGGGTTTGCCCAGAGGAAATGACGTCTGTTCTTGATGGTACTGCAAGGAGAGGAAATGACATCACACAGGAATAATCAACCAATGGCAGTATCTGCACCATAAAGGAATAGCTGGGTGATTGGAGAGTAAAGAAAGACCATCTACTTCCAATGTCCTTCTGTTTGGTGGCAGAACAGGCTTTCAAAGGTGAACAGAGCAGTGTGGTTTCCCATCTCCAAGGAATCCCAAAGATTATCCAGATTCCAGGCTTTCCTTTTGCTTCCCAGGCAGTCTGTCCTCTGGCTCATAATGATAAGCTATTATTATTATTATTATTATTATTATTATTATTATTATTATTATCATCATCATCATAAAAGACTATATTGTAAGACATATAGAGATATTTTTTGTTGGTTTTGAAGCCTCTAGCCTTGATTGGCTGAACTGCCCTGATGTCACAGAGCAGGAAGAAGGCTACCAGGTTGTAGTTGGTTGAGCTTCCGAAATGGGCAGGCCAAGCCTATAGACAGGGCTTTTTTCAGCTGGAACTCACTGAAACTCACTTCCAGCACCTCTCAGGTGGGTGCCATTGCTATTAAAAGAGAACAAGGGGGCATTTATGGTGAGCTCCAGCATCTCTTTTTTCTAGAAAAATAGCACTGCCTATCGAACAGAAGAATTAGGGGCTTAGGAAAGGAAGGCCAGCCTGAGACGTTGAAGTCGGCCAAGAGTTGCAAGAGGGAGTTGTCCAAAAGAAGTGAGAGAGAAAAGAGGGGGGGTAGAAAGAAAACCTGAGGGGACAAGGAACAGAGAGGAGAAAGTAGCGCACAGCCAGGTGTTTGAGAGATGAGGAAGGCTGGACTTCACCTCTTGTTTTGAAATAGCCATGTGCAGTTTGCAGCAACAGCTCACTGAGCAGATTGGTCATCCCATAGTCTCTGGTTTCCAATGGCCTTTGAGTCTTATCAATACCAGGGTGCTCAGCAATAAGGGCAAATACAAATTCTTCCAAGAAGAAGCTCCCCATTTGACATCCGTCCAAGACAAGTATGATCGTTTTGCAGAGGCTACATGGGGGAACTCTCTGCTGATGGGCCCATGGGGCTTCTGTGAGATGGGGCATGTGGTGGGTGAAGAGAGAGAAGGCTGCTTTATTCCCCAGCAGAAATGACACAGAGCTTGCTTGACAACATGCCAAAAACTTCTGGGGCTGATGGCATGGGCGTAGCCAAGATTTTTGTTAGCAAATCAGCAAGAAGATGTTTCCTGGGGTTAGGGGAAAATTTAAGGTGGACTAGGCATCTAGGGACAGCTCTGACAATTCCTTCCATGTAGCATAAGCAAGGTTTTGGAGTCTCTCTCTGTTGCTTTTTTAGACCACCCAGCCTTTGCCAACCTAGTGGCCTCCACATGTCCTTAGACTACAGCTTCCATCATCCCTGGCCAATTGGGCATTCTGGTTGAGGCTGATGGGAGTTGTAGTCCAAAGCTTCAGGTTGGGGAAGGGCATTTTGTTTTGCTTTTCAAAGACAAGGGAGACTGTGATACCCGTTTCCAAAACGCTGAATGAATTTGCTGGGGATGGGGAGAATTATTATGCATTTATCATAACACTGGGCTATTGAGGTCGGCCAAGGAAGCAGATGGGCAGTGGGCATTCTGTGTGGCGTAGGAAGTGAAAGCGCCAGGCTAGAACCTGTGAGGCAGCAGTTCAGAAACCCACTCGGCCATGAAGCTCACTGGAACCTTTATTCTAAATTCAAAATGCTGGTTCAGAACTGAGCCAGTGTGGAAATTTATTATTTGCTTTCTTATATTCCTATCCCCCTTTTTTCCTCCATGAAGCTCTAGGTGGCATATGTGACTCTCCCCTCCCAGCTTTCTCCTTACAACAACCCTGTGAGGTAGGTTAACTGGGTCACCTATTGAGCTTTGTGGCTGAGCAGGACCACAAAATCTGACCTCCTGGGGTCCAGTTCAACACTCCAACCACTACTCCATGCTGTCTTCTCCAGTGGTTTGAGTGTCACAATAGGACCTGAGAGCCTCAGGTTCAAGTCCCCAAATGACCATGAACTTGCTGGGTGACCTTGGGCCAATCTCATGCTCTCACCCTGACCTACCTCACAGGGCTGTTGGTAGGATGAAAGTGAATGGGTGGGAGAACCATATTCACTGCCTTGAGCTCTGCAACATTGGTGTAATAATTAACAGGACAAATGAAGTGTTTCATGCCCCGTTTCAGCTACATGTTCTAGATGTGCAGTTAACTTCATGGGTAGCATCCCAAAGTGGTAAGGTAGACTATACCGTTTTTCAGACTTCAGGGGTACCATTCTTGAACTTTCCCTCCCATTAAAAAAATTGCCTGCAAATAAACAAGAAATCTAACAAGTCGTGGCAGTTCCTCTCTCAGCCTTCTCCCTGCGGTACTAATTTTCAAGCTGCAAATTTTGTTGTTTTGTTTTTTAACGTTGGGGAGAACTCATAAATGTGCCCTCCCCACCCCTGTCCGCAGTCAGAATGAGCATAGTCCCTTCAAGACTCTTCCACCTCATCCGTCTCCCCTCTCAGAGCAAGCCACAGATGGTTTCTAAAGAGGATTAGACAAAGTTATGGCGGATTGGTCTATTGGTGGGGAAATCTAGCGTTACCCAGGTGGACTGCTTGGCCTTTTCCAGCAGCATGTCCCTACACTTAATTGGTTTAATTGGCAGACTAATTGGCAACAGCGGATTTTTAATCCGTGGGTTGGAAGTTAAGGAGACCTCCTTACTTATTTTTATTTATTTTTCCCCATGAAAAGGGTTGTTTTCGTTCCGATGCCGTCGCAGACGGCGCAAAAGTGCAGCAACTGCGTACAGCAACAAATAGCAGAAACAGTTTTTGTTGTTCTTCAGTTTCAGACCTTTTAAGTGCTCCTTTCAGTGGCGGGGCTTTCGCCTGTATGCAAATCCGCTGCGCGGTTTAATCGGTTGGTTAATGGATGCATCAGTTGAAAAGGCGGGTGATTAATCAATTAACGGCTCTCTTAAGCACGTTGACAGTCTTAATCGGAATAATTGTCGGTAAGGAATTGAGCAAAATGAAATGAAACAAAACGAGTAATAAGCAAAATGCCCCCCCCCTGCCAGTATGGATTTTGATGCCCTGAACAGGGAGGTGGCGGGCAGGCGGGCGGGGAGAGCCCAGGTGGCAAGTAAGGCGGCTAGTCAGGAGCTCCTGCCAGGAGATACCACGTTTGCTGGGATTAGCAGCTGTCTCATTAGACCAGGATACATAAAGCAAAATCCTTGTTAATCATTCATGGCCTCGGAATATGTTTATCCGGCTCTCCCCAAGGGCCGATTAGGCTAGCAATGGAGCAGACTCAGTCAGCCTCTCTGAGGCTATTACAGGTAGATTTGTTTGGGGCTTGCGGGCAATTTAGGCATCATTGGCAGAAAACTCTTTTCTCCCCCAAGAACAGCTTGCCGCACATTCAGCTCGAACCACCAAGCAGCCAGACAGTCCCCAGGGGCAGAGGCGACCCTCACAGGGTGATCTGATATCGCCATGGCCGTTCATGGCTCATGCAGTCATTATTTGCTTTTGTTCTGCTCTGATCAAAGAGGTTACGTAGGTTTCGGGAGGGCTCCAAAACCTGCACAACCTGTTCTGTTCAGAAATTATGACAAAGGCAGGCAGTAGAATTAATGTGCATGAGGAATAGTGCAATGTCTATCATTTTGTTCCTTTACTTCCTCAGATATTCAGCCTTCCCAAATGCACCTACTGTGTTTTTTGCTCTATAAGATTCACTTTTTCCCTCCTAAAAAGTAAAGGGAAGTGTGTGTGCGTCTTATGGAGCGAATGCAGGCTGTGCAGCTATCCCAGAAGACAGAACAGCAAGAGGGATTGCTGCTTTCACTGCGCAGCAATCCCTCTTTCTGTTCTGGCTTCTGAGATTCAGAATATTTTTTTCTTGTTTTCCTCCTCCAAAAACTAGGTGTGTCTTGTGGTCTGGTGCGTCTTATAGAGCGAAAAATACAGCATTTGGGACAGTTGTCTGCCAGACTGATTTATTTATTTTCTTGCAAGGGATCTGAATCATTCTCATATCACACGCCATCATCAACATTCTGCTTTGCTATCAAAAAGTTCCCAGAGTGGGTTCTACAAGAGAAGGAAAATAGGAATTTCATAGAGAATAAACACTTAGGATTGGCTATGGAAGGCA